TCTTTCCCTCTTCCTTCCTTTTATTATTTGATTCCATTACCACTACACATAGCAAAAAAAACCACTGGTGATTTTCCATTACAATTATGATAATCACAGTCTGAATCATCTTGCAAAACTATCTGCGCTGCCAGCTATGGACCTCTCCTGACTAGAGGTTGCTAATTATGCTGTTGTACATCAAATTTATAAGGAGTCTACAAAGTGTAGAAACTGTGAGCTAAATTTGAAACAAATTTTTTCAGTTCTGCAAAACCAGAAGCCTTGGGTAGTAAACCATTTTGACTCACCTTACTCTTTGATCCCCTCAGTGATGACTCTGTTAAGAAAAACAATTAAAATATATCACCTCAGTTCACTTACAGGCCAAACAACATATGGAGTATGCATTAAAAAAAATGAAGTTACCACACCTATATGGTATTATGATAATACTGATAATTTTGTATTTACCTATTTTCATAGTTCTGCTGGCTCCGGGCTTGGTGTTGTAACAGATCCTTTGCAATTCACATCGTCCTGTCAATTTCCTAGCCACAAATTTCAGGCAGCGCCACAAGCATTTACAATAGAAGTACAGGCACACCTGAACAAACATTCTGTCAAATAAAGTTTCAGAGTAAGAATCTGGAATAGTCTGTTTGAACAAAACAGTCCTACTGTAACATGTATACCTACAAATACACCTATTAGATTTCAAAGGCCCCCAACTGAATATTCAAAGTACAAAAAACTTTCATATGTGACAAACAAGGGATCTCCTACAACACATTACTTATGGAAATAACATTTGAAAAATCAGGCCCTTCATTTTTATCCGCTTAAAAAAACCCAAAACAATCTCATGAGTCAGCTCAGAAAAGGATGGCTCAAAAAGTTGAGTTCTATAAAGTTCTTCCCCCCTTCTGAGCCAACAAGATAGATGCCTATAGAAGAAGGAAAATACAGATTACACAGCAATTATAATTCTGCAGTGAGTCTTAATTCCTCATATCTGACTCCATCTTCGATCCCACTTCCCTGACGGACTTCCCCAAAGCCATCCTTCTCCTGTGGCTCGTGAGAAGCAAGATAATTGATAAATAAGACAATGATGAAGTTTAATTCTCTGGGGTTGCAAGAACAAATATCCCAGATTAAGGAAAGCACTGAATCCATCCCTGAAATATGTGCTTAAAACTGTTTTGCATAAGGACAATTTATCTAAGGGCCGACTTTCTACAACACTGAAGTTGCAGAGTAGTAGTATAGCAGAGTTTGCAATCTGACATGGTGAGAAACATCTACGAAATCTGTAAGTATGAATTGCATTTTCTTTTATAGTCATGTTACTGTTTTATTATTTGGAAAAAGAAATCAGGTAATACTGCAGCTTCTACTAAAAGAGTCCTGAGAAAACTGAAATACTGAATGCAGAAAAAAAACCTTTCAGACCCAATAAATTAGTTATTTAAACCCAATAAACTATTTCTATAAACCAATCAAGTAGTCCTTTTGCTACTATGAACATGAAGAACCAAATCCTGCAGAGGGGTCAAAACTTTCAACTCCCATTGGCTAAACAAGGCTTTAATCTAGTGCTTGACACTTTGGAGGAACATTGCCCCAATCTCAACAAAACAGACCTGCTAATTGGGATAAGGACTCACTAGTTTGCAAATGTACTGGAATTCAGAGCGCTAAGTCTGACCTATTATGTTCCACAGCTCCACTTGTAATACAGTTTTACAACATGGAAGTAACATGATGAAAATCAATAATATCTGGAAGACACTAGAAAATTAATAATACCCATATTTGGCAACAGATTCCAGTTTGGATTTATGAAATTCTGGAAACAGGTAGACTGAAATACTAAATGTCAGATTGTCAACTGATGTAAGGTGTTACAGCTCTATTAAAAAGCTAACAGGGCTACATTAATTCACACAAGGTTAGTATCTGCCCTGAAGGCCAAGGGGACACTTGGGAAAATAAGCAAGATAACTAAATATGTAAAATTTAAGGCTATGAAAATCCTGTGCGAATGTTTAGTATGCCTCAACTTAATCTCAGGAGGAGATAGCAACATTTACACGAGGTTTAATGCATTTTCTCATTACATTTCTAGTTAATTTGCTTAGTCTTCCCAAGTATCTCCCTATATACAAGTCCATAGAGTTGATGCAACAGAAGTGAGCATTTTGGATTCAATTTCAAATTCTTTGAGTTTTTATCTGTGTGTCACCTGCAATCTGTGAATTTAATATACACAGACATGGAAAACACCACCAACTGCCAGCATTATATTGTTCTTGGACATTAAAAAGTTAAGGTATTTGCTCAAATATACAGTAGGCAATTGACTTCCTAGAGCTGAGAGAGAAAATAAAATAGTAAAATCAGGAAAGAAATCCCCAAACAAACCAGATGCATAGACATTTTAAAAGGTATCCAACAGTCAGAAACATGTCAGTAAACATGAGAGAACAAGTTATAGAAAAACAGCCAACACCATCATTTGTAATTTTCAAATCTCCTCCTGCAAAGAGATTCAAAAGCTGGACAATTTAGCAATCCAGCAATCAAATACACCATGGTTATTTGCATCCTGGTTTAGAATTCCACTAAAAAAAAAAAGCCAAAACAAAAATATAACCTCACCACCGAACAGCACTATATGAAGCAGCTGATGGAACACAGCGATGCAGATATGCAGTCTCTACTCCCAAGAATGTACATGGGAGTTTACCTGAGAAAGATTCCAACCCTTTAAGTCTAAGAGTCCGATTTTTTTTATTTTATTAAGTTTTGGTCTATTGTCAATTAAAATATATGCTATTGATATGCATTGCTTTCAGTGGTTAAGTAATTTTACTACAGCTGTTCCCATAAAATTCCCTTAGTCCATAGTGCTCAACTACGTAGAAAGAGTGGAAAGACCCATTTAATTTCATGCAAGTGGCTTAACTGAAATGAGTATTTTCAAGAAAGAATAAATTAAAAACAGCATAGGCCCTTTATAATAAACATGTGACTGTAGACAACTAATTCTTTTAGGGACAAAATATGCTAGTTGTGACATGGTATTCTGTATTTAGGTTCAGAAGCCATTCTTCCATAGTTCCAGTTACATTTACTGTTAAATTTTTACTTCTGTTACATGGCTTAGAATGGCTGACCAAAGTACAGCTATTAAAAGTGTAGCATATCATCAAAGCATGAGAGGGACTGCTTGTGACTTACCATACTGCAACTAACAGTGGTGATTAAGAAAGCAGACGGTACTAATTTTTAACTAGGCAGCTAAGGTAAGAAAATGTTTGTTTTGTGGATACCTGTAATGTTCTACTACTCGTCCTTCTCAAACAAGTGAGAGTAGGTATCTTCTTTTACAACAAGAATGGCATGCATGGTTACTCAATTTTGTTTTCAATGGTTTTGTATTATTTTTTTAATAAAAAGAATTCTTGCTTGTAGAAATCCTGTAATGAAAGCATATTGCTGATTAAACGGACTAGGCTTTTATTTTAAAATGAGCTGAAATTCAAGACCACTAAACAAAACAGAAATACTGACAACAATAATAAAAAACTGCGCAGCACTAAACAAATACAAACTAATTTGTGTGCCTGTGGCAAGGTGTCTCAATGCCGAAGCTTTTTGGAAACAGGCTCTCCTTCTGCTATTCTCCCAGGCTTGTGGTTTTGCAAAACTTTATTTGCATAGGAAATGCAAGGCCTGATTCAGCACTGGTTTGTGTTAATCGCACTTCTGCAAAATGCATAAAAAAAAAATGATACTCCATTTGGTGGAACATTAATGCAAATATTTAAATTAAGCAATCAAGCACTCCAAATGGATGAGGACACATGAACAAATTACCATAAAATCAGCTAAGGTGTGAACTCCATGGTGACTGCCTGTGTGCATGTTGTGCTCCTGAAGTAAATGCTAGCTAGCTAGCCAACCTTTCTGTGGAAGCAGGATAACCTAGTTCAACTTTCCTGTGGGGTCAGACCATGTACAGAGCCAGATATAGCGGAATAGCAAGTGTGCTGCAAGTTCAACCCTGAGCTTACTTTATGGGAAAACTTGTTCATTTTCCCATGCCCCAGTTCCTTGATTTTGGTTCGGTAGGTGCATCTGCAAGTTCATTAACGTGCCCTAGTTACTGCACATTAAATTTAGTACTTGGTTAACCAAATACTGTACTAATTCAATACACAGTAACTCGTGTTACTGTGCAGTAGTGCCGGCACACTGCTTTTAGTGACACTGCGCTGTAGCCTAATAACTGCGCAGCAGCATATTAGCATAGTTTTGGACCATGTTATTAGGCTACTGCGCAGTAAGCTCCTCGTGTAGATGGTTTTTTATTTGGTTTCTAAACCTTAATACTTCATTAGCAACAGTATACACATACTTTTGACAAGTCTTGCATACTGAAAACAGACAGACCCACCAAATGACCCCCATCCTTTGTGCCAGGCATTTTGAGCATCGGAAGTAATCTGAAATAATTACTTCAAGAGTAACGTTAATGGAGTTCATGCAACTGACAATGTGATTTGGAAAAAGGTTGCTCTTTCCTTTAAGCTTCAGAATCCTAAGGAAACATTTAACGGTACTCTAAGTTCCAAGATGAAAAATGGGAGCAAAATTGATCTCTCTTACTTCTTTTACTACTCCCCCTGCAATCCCATTACTGCTTTCTCCTGTAGCCAAGGTCCTAACCTGGCCTTAATCTTCCTGCACACACAGAAGCTTCAATATGCCTCCTCAAAACACAATTGGTCAGTCTGGAAGAGTTAATGTTCCTCAAGATTAGCCATTATCCAGAGGGATGTACCAGTATAATCCCTCCTCAGAAACTGGTTTGCTAGACTGCTATGTATGAATTGTTGCGTATTATAGTTCAAACTATGTGCCAGTGCCTCATTGTCTTTGTTTGAACGGCAAGCAAGGACTGCTGCTAAAACTTAGCTGCCTGCAGTAGCACTCATGAAGGCTGGATTTCTCTCTCAGGAAAAAAGGAAAGTCAGAGATTTAAATAGTTTAGAATACAAATACTTAAACAACAGAAGCTGTTTACTTCCCATCCCCAAAGAAATACGGTATAATTAGGAACAGGCAAAAAAGTGCATCTAGTACCAACAGCATGCTACACTGCAGTTTGATATATTAGGAAGGATTTAACCTGTTTTATTTAGTGTGACCTTTGATTCTTTTTCATACAGCATTGGAATTTTAGAAGGGTTTCTGCTCTGAGGTTTATCTGACTATCCAGACTAATCTGCAGGTAATGTGTTTTTACTTGATCTACTTCTTTTCCCCATTCTTCCACTTTTTCTAGTCTCTGACTTCTTTGCAACTCCCCCCCCCCCCCCCCCCCCCTTTCCCGGTCACTATTTCTCTGCCTTAGATCTTCTGCAAGTTCCTTCTGTCATGAGCAATTTCAACAGAGAAAAGAACTGGATATTTAACACAAAGCTCATTCTTAAATTTCTCTGCAGCACCAACAGGGGTGATGAAACCAAAAAATCCAACTGTGAATAATCTCAGCAATAACAACACTAATTATTGGGGTTTGGAGATTCTCTTCCTGAGCAAAAAGGTGGAAACTAGAAGGGAAGGTACCAGAAACTACATATACTTAAGACTACTATGACCTGACAAGATGAGCTTGTCCTAAAGAAGAGGTGAATAGGAAAACTATTAGGAAAGCTACATGGTGCAAAAAGTGACAGTAACTTAGTGGTGCTCTTCATTTTGAGGTCACCTGCATGAAGATTTTCAGCAGTGCTTGATAATGCATCTCAAATATTGCCTCTCAATTAACTTGATCGCCCTTGCACCTGATGTCCAACGCTGATATGTTAATGGTACAGTCTGGGATAGAGTTCAGCAGTTACCATAGAGAAGTGTAACTGATACAGTGTTCTACTAAGATCAACCATTTTTATATAAAGGCTATTGGAATTCAGCTGATCATCTCCACCGTAAGTGAGGCAACCCCCATCATGCCCTTACCTACTATACAGAATTCTTGTACTCTCTTAAATAGGTGGTACACTCAGCTCATAACACACCTGCTTGCTCGTGAATGGTGATCAACTGCTGTATATCATTTTCAAATACAGCCGGATGAAACGCACACATTTTGTTTACGACCTTTGCCCATTTTCCCTTTTTGCCCATTTTGTGTCCTGTTGCTATATAACATACTTACGTAACTAATTTCTGCAGATACACACAACTCCATGAAAAAGATGCACCTGTCACATCAGATAACAGATGTGCGATCATTTTGTCTATTGGTTGCCAGTGCAATAAATTAATAGTTAGTCACTGTACCATTACTGAGTCGCTCCACTCTGATTTTAGCTTTGAAAAATAAGACTCTTGTACTCTAGCTGGGAATGGTCATTTGTCCAACTAAGCAGACCATTAAGCAAAAATCTGACGGGCTCCAATTTTGTAAGTGCAACCTGCAGCTGTAAATGGGATCAGCCATGACGGTCTCTAGTGGTAATCATTATACAGGGAATAATCAAATCTGCCCCATATAAACCTGTTGTGGAAGCCAAATTTTAAAAGATTGTACCAGATAGCATCAGACAGTTTCTCAGGCATAAGGAAACTGAATTCCAGTCTACCCATCTGCTTATAAATGAAGGAAAGTCACCATAGCAACCAAGAACACAGGAGAGTTGTTCAAAAGCATTCTATAGCATGAACAACTTTTTCATATTCATTACTTTCGACTTTCGATGGCATTAATCGTGCCATCAACTGCAATATACCACATGTTCAGCCAATTTATGGTGCAACAAAATGGTAAACCAGCCACAAATATGTTCCACATATAATTGATTGCATTGGGCCTCGGACAACCCTGGGTCTGGGGTGCAGACCTAGGGCTGCTCCTAGCCTGATCCCCGAGGTTCATCAGACTCAATGTCAATGATCAGCTGTTTGTTGGCATCAGGTTCAGGACAACACCAGGTCTCGTCTGGCATAGCAGACCATGCAATTTTTGCACTATGGCATCAATCTCAATCACGTCAGTATATTAACATCTGTGAGAGGCCTAAATCAGTCCTGAATACATTAACATAACTCCTATAACATTGTACATGACCCATAGATCTCAATGTCAGCTTTTCAAAAAGTTGTATGACTCTAATTCATTGGGCCCATTCCAATTAAAAAATCAGGCTGCTTCAAGGTGAAGTGATTAAAAAAAAATAAATCAACCACTTTGTTTAAATTGTGAGAATAAAAAAGTAAAGGCAGTCCTCGACTTACAACGTTTCAAGTTACAAAATTTCACACTTACAATGTTTCTAAATTGACACCCTGTTTCAACTTTTTGACAGCGGTTTTGACTTTACAACGTTTGATCTGATGCGACACCATGACAGCGAACAAATTGCTGTGTCACCCATCTCCCGGGAGAACATCTGTCCATACTTCCACGGACACTTTCTTTAAGAAAGCAGACAAGACTCCAGAAAAACCTGCAGCCAAGACTCCTGAGAAGACTCCAGCCAAGAACCCTTCAAAAAGTCCAGAATAGTCACCTCAAAGAAGTCCTTCCAACTCAATATGATTACTATTTACAACATATATACATTAATGTAGCTATATTACTCATCTATAATTGACTGAGTACAAAATTCTGGGTTATTTTTGGTGAAAACAGGGTACTGGGCCTTGGTTCAGGAACCAATCCCTCATTTATAACCTTGTTTCCTATGGGAAAATCAGTTCCAAGTTTCAATGTTTCGACTTAAGATGCTGTTTTCAGGAACTAATTGTGTCATAAGTCTGAGGACTGTCTGTACCTTAAACTGCCAATGTTAAGTTTTAAGTAATTATTTGTTTTAATTCATTTCCTTATAAAATAGCAATTATATGTTATACCCTGGGCTTTTTAAAATTCCCTTTAAATAGGGTATACTTACAGATGTTTCCTTTTTAAAGAGATTTTTTTAATAGAGAGATTCTTATATATACACAAATATTTATAAGAATCTCTTCAATAAGAAAACAGTGAAACTAAATGTATATACTACTGTCAAAAGCATAAAACAAAGAAACAAAAATGTTTTCGCTAAAGATTTCTTTCAGTTAGATTACACCTCTGTGTTATTGATATGAAATTTGTTAGAAGAACTACATTTTTCTTGTACTGCTTTGCCATTTTTAATGAGTAAAAAATGCATTTCTCACCATGCTGCACCGATTTTCTTGTAGCTTGAGAGAGTACTAAAGAAAAACCCAAGATAATACTACCATCGCAGTCTAGATAGAGACCAAAAGATAGAAAACACCTATCCCAAAAAGCAGGATCTTTATGAAAAAAGTATGAAGTGCATGAACAATTATAATCAATGTCTAAAGATTATTCAGATGTTGATAACTGTCCAGTTTCCAATTGTTGTATCATTATTGTATGTTGATACACCATTTGGAATTACAACAATTGGAACAAAGGGATTATCACCTCTCTGGCTTCTAGCTCAATGCCTCTCCAGCGCCAAACTTTATTACTTTAATTGCCATTATATCACATGATATACAGCTATTATTTTGGTGGGGGGGGGGGGTTATAATATAACTTTTCAGATTTCTTCAACCAGGTATTTCCCGGTTGGAATATCTTTCTGTTTTGAAATTTCCCATTTAAAACTTTGTGGAATAACTTGGAATGTAAAGTAGATATCAGACTTTCCCATTAAAGAAAAACTGATATTTACACAGACCTACCACGCATTACTTAGATATTTATTTGTGTCTCATGACTGCCTTCCAAGAATAGAGAAGAACTCTCTCCCTGCCCTCTTTCTATTGCTTTCATGAAAAGAAGTGAAAGAATGGCAGTTTCTTTCTATGTTCCTTTTCTATTTCTATTTTCATTTCTGCTTAGCCTGTTATCACAGCATAGGTATATTGCATATAAAACAAAATGTATTAGTAACCACACATAACAACAATTCTAAACCTCCCTGTTTAATCACCTGCTAGGACAAGAATCTAACACTGGAGGCAGCAGGTGGATGGGTCAAAATGGAAGTACCGTCTATCCAGTAAAGAGCTTGAGAACAATGAGTTCACTTGACAACAATGAGTTCATACACAGTTACTAATGGAGAAAGTGATAGAAACCTATTTTAACACAGCAGTAGCAGCGAGGTTAGCTTGGGTACCAGGTCATTAGAGATGGTGATCAACCTGGAAGCAGTGATACCAAAATTCTCCACTATAACCAATTCACAGCTAGGAGTGAAAAAAACATATTGACTGATACCATTTAGAAATGTGGATTTCTCTCTCTGTTGAAGAGTATTTTCCGGTCCAGGGTTAGATACATTCAAATCAAGCCTGTTATATACTGTCAAGATTGATAACAAGATTAACCAGCCACATGGTAAACAGAAAAACAGCACAGGAGCGAAGATAAAATTACTCCTGCTCCCCAAAGGGCACCATAATAAGATATGATCAGCTTAAAAAAAACCAAGCCAAAACAAAAAAACCCCAACCCTGCACAATGTCTGCATTTATTTCCTTTCCCTATTAAAAACATGTAAAATGTTTACAATGAAAAGGGAACGTAACTCTACTGCAGATGAAAGAAGAAAAATAAATTTTCTCTTCTTATTTCCCCTGCCAGTGTGCTTACTTCATGTGACTGACTACATTTGCATAGTCTATTTTGCCTTCTCTCAAGTACAGGCAAATGGTGAAACAGACTGTACTGTAAATGCTGTCAATCACACAAGTAAACATGCTGAGGGAAAATGACAGAAAAAATTGCTCTGAATCTCTTACATTTATAATACTTAAGAAGTTACCTGAATCAAAAGGGAAAAATGCAAACTTTGTGTTATTTTTAATCTAATGTCCCTTTCTCCAGAGGTCCAAAAAACCCAAAGTCAGCAATTTTTCCCTGGTTGTTCAATTTCTGATACAAAATGATCACTGTCTCAGCTTTCTGGTTCATTCAGGTAAATTTAAATATGCCTGTTTCTCATGCATTAAAATGACCTCTGATTGGCCCTGACACATTTCAATTAGTTGTCACAGCAAACAGCATGCTGTGGTTTAGCCACAAGTGTTATGGGTAAGAGCTGATTTGTTACCGTCTTGAAATAGTAGTCTGCTGCAAAAAGGAAGCAGAGGTTATAGAAAGTGTTACTTACATTAAGAAAAATCTGACCATTTATAATTTTCAGCACTATAATGCTTCTGCCTCTCATTTTGCTGCTTACTAGAGTTCTAAATGTGCAACCTACTTCTTATTAAACATCTTATATGTTGTTCATTTCAGTATGTGACTTTAGCCATGTGTCAGGGCTTTAATTTAGAATGCAGGAGTGCAAGGAAGAAGTTTCCCCATACTGATAGGCCAATGTTTAATTACCCATCCTCAATTAGTTCTACCTTGCTCCAATGCATCAGTTACTGAAGATGTGCTACCAAATTAGAGGGACCACTTATCAGATAATATTTTTGTTCCAGGTTCCCATACAACTAAAATATATTTATATTAAAATTAAATGTGGCATCTTATAACCAATTTAATTAAATGGTACTGGCCAAGGGATTACAAAAATAAATATATCCCACTAAATGTGGGAGGTAACGGTCAAGATATATTGTTTTATAATTAAACAAGTCCTTATCGTTCAACAATTTTGGAAACGATGTTAAAAGCATTACCTCAGAAAGTGCTTCATTATGGTAGTTTTGATATTCTAGTCAAATAATCTCTCAAATGATCACAGGAAAGTTGCTCTTGCAGAATTAAGTGATTCTGTAGAAATAAATCAGGTGTAGTAAGAAACACAGAAATATAAGTCTCAAGTTTTCAGTTGATCAAACAATAACATTTCTTCTACACACAATTATTTTAAGAACTTGAAGTCCCAAAATGGTAAATACTCAAGCTGAAAACTTATAATATACAGCTTTCCAAGTAGCTGAGCATTGAGTATTTTGTAAAGAGCTTAGGATCCTTTAGCAAATCTGGCCGCTTATTTTGGTACCTAAAAGTAAGCTTACTTAACGCACAAAAAATCTGGTCCTGCATGATTTTGCAGGATCTAACAAAACTGCTAACTTGATGAAACATTTTAATTTATCTAGTCACTGCTTTCCTTTTCTCTTTTTGACAGCCATGAATTTTATATTACACTGTCACCTGCTGAAAAGGGCAAGCACTTCATTTATAAAAAAATTAAATAAACACAACTATCTTGCTGGATAACAACACATACTTCCTGCTAAAATATATATAATCCTTGAACTGTGAAATCTTCTTGGGTTTATGTTGTTTTTGATGGGCTGAATCACGTTGCTGTCCCCTGAATACAGCTGTAATTGCTACTAGCTGCACTAACACCTGCTTGCCAACATAAGCAGAGGCTAACAACAGACTCTGGTTCATTAATGAACACAGCAGACAGGCTTCTAATGCTCCCTATTAAAGCTTTTGATGTTCCTAGGCCTAGACCATATCAAGTATAGGGAAAATGAGAGGAAAAGGAAAAGACTGAAGGGGATATAACCTGCTCCCAATCTAATCGTTTTCTGTTGAAAGATACAATTTGTGCAGGATTCTCACTGCTGGGACCAGGCTTCTCAGCAAATTGATGAAGCTTCTTTAGTTGACCCTTGAGGGCAGCAGCAGCAGCAGGATTAAAACAAAAGCCAGGCCTCTAAAAGGTGAGAAAATAAGTTTCCCACTGAGCTTCTGTCGTCAGTTTCTTCTCGACTCTGGTCAGCCAAGGGAGTTTCTGCTAGAAACCGTGTTACTGCTTTGCTGCCTCTCCAGAGGGAAGAACAGCTATGCTTATGGTTCTGTGCATCAGAAATGAGAGTTGCAGGGCTAGAATTTATCTGGGTTAAATGTTTTATCGCCCCACAGCTGAAAAACTCTGCCCTCCTAGATAAAGACTAGGTGGAAAAACAACAGAGCTAGTCATTTTTTTTTTTTTTTTTAAGAGGGGCTTCTTTATTAAAACCTAGTCCATCTAAAAAATGAGGGGGTTACTTTCACCATTATTATATTTTTCTATTTTCATTCCACTTCAAAACAAAACAAGAATGTTACTTTTGGGAAAAAAAAAATCAAACTAGATTTCAGAAACTAAAAAAAGATTCTATTTCAGATTTTAAAGAAAGTTACAAAAATTTAAAAAACGAGGCCACTCTGAATTTACCTTTACCTTTGAAATTACTCACACGACTAGCATTTAGCTTTTTAAGATTTGTTATAAGAAAAAAATTAAGCACTAGGGGTTAAATCCTGGCTCCATTAACATCAATATCAAAATCCACATTGACTTCAGTGGGGACAGGGTTCCATCTTAGCAAGTTAAAAAAGCTAGTCCCCAAAGGCACAGACCTGGACTAACAGTAAGGGTGGAAAGACTGGTGCAAATCAAATGCAGCAAAGGCCACGGTTCCAACACTGCTTGCCATTCACTCTGCTTGACCTTACATCCAAAAATATCTACAGGATTTAGAGATGGAGGCCAAACATGAGAAGGAAAAGGACACAAATTGCTACACTGTTCTCTCAGTCTTATGACTTACCAAACTTGTATGTCTGGCAGACGGTATCTATATTCAGCAGGTGAAGGCTTGCACAGTGACCAGACACGCATCTCTGATCATGTTCTGCTCCCAAGGACCTCACAAATTAACTCCCCCGCCACCCTTCACCACACACAAAGAGATAAGGAAGTGTGATCAACCCCATGGCAAGAAGATAAGGCAAGATTCCATTTTCCTTATATTTATATAAGAATTATATTTTCAGAGAAGTAGATCTTATCTTTCTACTTTTCCAGATATCTCCCTTCAGTGAGCTTATTCCAAAGGAAGCAAGAACCTTCTCTACCTTTTCAAAAAGCAAGTATTAGGAGAATTAACTTTTAGAACAGGGTTTCTTGTACTTCAGGGAGCTGGATCTGGTCAAAATTGAAATAAGAAACTCATGAAACTAGAGAGTCAAAACACCCATTTTTTCCTGCTTAAAAATGTTGTGATGGAGTTTCTTGAAAATATATGAACTCTGTGCTATGATAATATTGTCTGCTTCCAGCCACACTGATAAGACAAGACAAGAAACTGCCCTCACTGTAATCTTAAATCCCTTTATACAGTGTAGTTGAATTTGCTTGAAAACACTTTAGTTTATTGTCAATGAATGTGCATAGAAAATTGCCCTCGGACACAGATAGAAAAGCTGTCTGCAGACAGCTTGTATGTCTTCATAGACATCAGGGCTGGAAGGGACCTCGGAAGATCATCGAGTCCAGCCCCCCGCCCAAAGGGCAGGAAGTCAGCTGGGGTCAGGATCCCAGCAAGATAAGCATCCAGTTTCATCTTGAAGGTGTTCAACGAAGGCGCTTGAACCACCTCCGATGGCAGGCTGTTCCAGACCTTGGGGGCTCGGACAGTAAAGAAGTTCTTCCTTATGTCCAGCCTGAAACGATCTTGAAGTAGTTTGTGACCATTTGACCTCGTCATCCCTTGGGGCGCTCTGGTGAACAAACGTTCCCCCAGATGCTGGTGGTCACCTCTGATAAAATTGTAGGTGGCCATCAGATCACCCCTGAGCCTGCGCTTTTCCAGGCTAAAGAGCCCCAGGGCTCTCAGCCTGTCATTGTAGGGTCTGCTTCCCTGACCTCTGATCATGCGCGTGGCTCTTCTCTGGACTCTCTCAAGCTTCTCCACATCCTTTTTGAATTGTGGAGCCCAAAACTGGACACAGTACTCCAGCTGCGGCCTCACTAAGGCCGAGTACAGGGGGTGAATGACGTCCCGGGATTTACTTGAGAAGCATCTATGGATGCAAGCCAGTGTTTTGGTCACTTTACTAGCCGCCGCATCGCATTGCAGGCTCATGTTCATCTTGTGGTCAATGATGACCCCCAAGTCTCTTTCTTTCATAGTGCTAGCCAACATAGCACTGCCGAACCTATAAGGATGCTGCGGGGTTTTTTCCCCAAGGTGGAGAACCTTGCATTTATTGGCATTGAACACCATCAGATTCTTGTCCGCCCACTTGCTGAGCCTGTCCAGGTCAGCCTGGATAACCTGCCTGTCTTCTGGTGTGGATGCTTTGCCCCAAAGTTTGGTGTCATCAGCGAACTTGGCCAGTCCGCTTCTGACTCCAGTGTCCACATCATTAATGAAGATGTTGAACAGTATGGGTCCAAGGACAGAGCCTTGGGGGACTCCACTGGTCACAGGACACCACGATGAGTGACTTCCTGGTGTCAGACTATCAATATCCTTTTGATAACCTCACTGAATTGGTTGCACGTTAGTAAAGAAACAGGAACAAAATCTTCTAGAGGTGTCATATTACCAGACCAATGCGGACTAACATTTCTGAAAAAGGCAGAAAGAAGATAATATTACAAAATCATGACATTTACAGCTGAAAGAGAGCAGGTACTTTTTACCAACTTTTTGTTAAAACGTACTAACTTATCAAAACCAACACTTTTTGCAGAAACGTATGATTAAGATGATACTTTTGTTTGCAATTTGTGGTCAAAACCAGAGAGAGCAACCCAGCTCAGGCTAACCTGATGATCAGGGCATATGGCTAGGCTATGAAAGACTTGGGCTCTAGTCTTGCTTTTACTCAAGTTGGACCCAGGACGTACACATGTTTATCACATCCCAAGTGTCCAACCAACAGACCACAGTGCCAGCCTCTGAAGGGGAGATGTTCCACTTCGTATAAAATGTTTAAATAAATAACTGAGACCAGCGAGAGATTCTGTAGGTCAGGGTGCTCCTGAGATAGCAGACACCCAGGTTCAAGTGTGCACTGTGAAGTGGGTGGACAGGTCTTCATGTCTCTGTACAACAGGACATTTTTGAGACCTCCCATTTTCATAGACAGGAAATCAGTTTCTCAACCAGCTATTTACAGTGCATCTTCAACTAACAGTGATATGAAACACTGCTTAAAGAAATAAGACACTGATTTTAGCAAATGCTAATTTTTAGAAAATTCTTACGGCTGATTACACTTTATTTACCACTTTATTTACACTTTATCCTGCTTGAAATGCAGCAATCTGAAAGGTTAAGATTTGCTACAGGCTGAGATGAAGCAAAGGAAACTGCATTTTGTTCTACAGCTGAGAGTTTGTTTTGTTAAGAAAAAATGGAAAAAGTGCTAGACGTGTTAAAGAAAATCACTTGACTCAAATAAGATTCACCGACAAAGAAAAAAAGTTGAGGCAGTTTTGTTTGTTTAGCAGCATTTATTTTGTAAGCAAATGACTCATCTGACCTGCTAATGCCTATTGTAGAGTTTAAAAGATTTAAGGCATAAGAAAGGGCACTAGTGCTGAAGATAAACATTGGAGACATGCAGGTGACCTACATTAACAAAAAACTTGTCACTGCTCTCTCTTTTAATGGGGCTTAGATAATTAGCACAGATCGTGACACTTGCAGTTGAGATTGCCTTGCTCAAAAAATATAATGGTTGCAACAGAATCTCTGAAGGCAGCCATCTTACACACTGGATACTGTACTTCCATTTCAAAGAATGGAAAGTCTATCCTTTTGATTGTAAAATAACTGTCTTACTGTGAAGTGTGGGTAATCAGTGTAGTGATGTCTTCCTTAATCTGAAGACAGTTTAGGAAAGTAACTGAAAGAGGTGAGGACCGTCTTTCTTATCTCACTGGTACATGCTTGAGACTGCTCGGTACTACTGTGGGCTGTGGGAGATCCAAACTTCACTACTCCTCTTATCACAACCCTCCTATGCATGTCT